TGTATACCAATAGTCCTTCAACAGATTAACGATTTAACAACATTTTAAACGAAAATTTTGCACATTATTTGAAAGATCCAATAGTAATTCTCCTTAATCCTAGTATCATGGGGTATTTTGAAAAAGGAATGACAGTCTATTAGAAAAAATACAGCAGCTATTTGGTTGACATTATTGTCTAACTATAGTAATACACATATAATAACCAATTATAGCGCGTCAAAATTTAAATATAGAATACGTTTCCTTAATTCCAATTAATTATATCCACATAGCAATTAATTTCCAAAATTGTTTCTTAAAGTAGAGTTAACTTTATTGCTGGAAAAAATATTTCGAAGCTTTTAATGAAAATTCTCTATTTGTACATACATAGTCGAAGATAAACTATTAAGAACATACAGTAAAATCTACTAGTATTGTATAAAAGTGCACTATTTAATTCAAATTCAACCGTTTAGAGAGAAATGGAAACAATGCTAGTAACGCTCGAATAAAGTATAAAGAACGAAATAGACAAGTTTTGTAGCCGTTTGAGTAATACGATTTCCATTTTTTCCAGTTCTTTGGCCCAGTTTGCGATTCTGGCGAAGAGCGCGCATGGAATTCCATATGTAATACAATATCATGCAGTTTCAAGCATATATTATTCTATTGTAATTTTTTATGTTCGGTTATCTATTTATGAAAAAAGATTATGATTGGAACTTCATTTACTATTTTAACTATGTTAATTTTATTACCTCCCTAATAAAACTTTCATAATAAAATTTTAGAACCATAAAAGAATTACGTAAGTATATTTAATGCTTCATTTAAACCAACTTATATTTAGAAAAAGAAAAGATTTTATATAATCTTTTGAAGAAGCATAATTTAAAAGGTATTAAATAAAACTAAATGTCAGCGACGTATTGATGAATTGTATTCTCAAGAGTCTAAATTGTCAGCGTCGAAGAATTTAGTAAATCGACGGCACATGGGAAATCTTGGAAATTTTTAATTCTCTGAGGCTTCGGAGCTGATTCACTCCGTTGATGGGCACCGATCTCTTTATCAATGAACCGGAAGGAACGAATATTCGGTTCTGCCATGTGCTAGTGCATAATTCTCTCGTCTGACGTTGACATCGGCTTTTAATCACATTTTGTAAACGGAGAGAATTTGATGAATGAAATTATCATACATAACAAAACTATACGTGTACATTAAACAATCACAAAATAATATAACAATTTATAGGAATATTAAATTTTACAGGGATTTCATTCTGCTCTTGAAATAATTCTGAACTAATCTTCTTTGAATCCTTATCTTAATAGAATATTCAGCATTTGTACTGATTTTAATAATATGGAAGAAAATAATCGTAGAATCTAGAAGAGAAGAGAAGTAAATAACTGAAAATTGGTCAAAGTAGAGAGCGGAAAGGATACAACAGAAAGAGAATAACTACATCGCGCAGGCGTAGGCTTTAATTGTAGAGGCAATCGGTTCTGAAAGTGAATCAAAAAATTACAAGTTTCAGCACGGGAGGAAAATTACTTGCACAGTAATTTTCCGACGTTTGATTAATGAAAGGGATGACGATGAAAATTACTGGTTGCCCCGATAAAACGTTTAACGCTTTTCGTGTACAAAATATAGTATTCTTTAAAATAAAGTCTTTCAAATTATTTCCAAAATATATAATACAATCAACCCATATATCCACTAAATTTCTTGTCTTCTAATCTATTACAACATTAGACCAAATATTTATTTATAAGTTGTAAAGAATTAATCTCTCTGCTTTGTGAATAAAAGATTACAAGAATTTTGATATTTTCATATACTTTTAATATTTTTTTTTTTTTGTTTGTGGAAGGATATTATATAATTTAATATGTAATACGATCCACAGGTTGTATATTAATATAGTTTGGTATAAAGCAGTTATTATCATTAGATATATTGACAACTTTATGAAATGATAACTCATATAAATTATGGACATCGTCATTTAAGTACCATTGACATAAGTTGACACGTTTTGTCCTTGTTTCTATACATTTATCAAACACCGATAGCAGAAACTATATCCTAGAATCTACAATATTACGAAGGTTCTCATTGATTGGATAATAAGAGTTGAAAGTTTCTGTTTTAACTTTTCAAAGGGTATAAATTAGAAACCAAGATCAGAATATCATAATTACAGCTTTACAATGTTACACGCTATATTTATCCTCGTATCATGGCATTAACATGAACACACAAGTCCTTTCAACTATACGAAGCTCTTCCACGTCAACTACCTGACATCCGATCTAGCGATTATCTGTTAACTTGATCAATGTACGGTTATCTCAGCATCAATAACCGTGTACCAAACAAAAAAAAAAAAAAGAAAATACAACTAAATGTCATTAGCTTAACGTGCAATGCCGAGAATATCGTCATATATCGTGTTTCAGTGTATTGATATCAGTTGTCGATATTCCTGTTCCAGAAACTTCATATGATATTCGTGTCGGTGTAGGTATTCTGTTTTTCAAAAAATGCGAGTTGTGGTCCCCGTTGTGTAAAGTAAAAAATCGAGTCTAGTATATACAAGCGTTTTTCTCTTTTTTTTTTTTTTTTTGACGAATTTAAAATCATATACACTTTCCAAGGTTATTAGTGACCACGATGAGAATAATCAGTGACACCAACACACACACATATCTATATATAATAGTAAGTAATAATAAGCAATATTCTTCGGACAAAGATAAATTGGTAAAATGATTTCAAATAGTCGAGAGGTAACATTTCAGTTTCAGTGAGGAGGTTCCGACGCATTGCAGTTAGGATAGATATATGAATTCGATTTTACGGCTGCGTAAATATAAGTTACCCGTGAAATAAAATTAAAAGAGAGTCGACAGGTCGTGCTCCGTGTTTCTCTGCCACGGTTTCGTAGGTAGAATTACAAATACTAGTTTAACAGAAGAAAAGAAAAAAAAGAAAATGAAAATAAAAAACAAAATTTTCGCGAGGAAATTTTACGTACTTCATGCAAGCTATCGCTTTAAACGAAACTAGCGATCAAAATTCGGTGGTGAGCATCAAAAAAGAAAATTTTTTTTTAAATGTGTAATACGATTCGTATACACCAATAAAATATTTAAGTGATATTTTAATAGTTGTTTTCAATTTTTAATAAAGTAACTATCTGATAAAGACTTGATTTAAAGTATAATATAATTTTATTGTTAAAAAATGATCGGAATTACCTGTTAAGTAAGCTTTCTTAGTTGATATTCATTTATTTTCAAGTGTATTACATTTCTTATAAAACTTCATTGCTTTTAAAAATATTTTACTAATATTTAATATATTTAATCATGGAAAAGAATAAATGGGAAGGAGTATTCACGTGATCATGATTCTTAATACTATATCATTATTATTAATCTTCTATGATTATGTAAGACATTCTTAGATGATTCTTTCAATGATCGATTCATTTTACTATGCAGATTTTATTATGCACAGAAATGGTAACAAGTATATAATAAAGAACACTGGAAATATGAAAATATAATAATTTTGTTACAAGAAAACTTAAAGAGTAAGATAGAGTAGGATTAAGAAGATACATTCATAAACATGCATATCAATTATACTTAAGTCCAATCAATTATAATTTACATGAAAACAAAAAATATTCTCGTTTATATACAGGGTGGTTGGTAACTAGTGGTACAAGCGGAAAGGGGGTGATTCTACGCGAAAAAAGAAGTCGAAAATATAAAATAAAAATTTTTCGTTGAGGCTTTGTTTTCGAGAAAATCGATTTTGAATTTTCGCTCGGTACGCGTGCGGCACGTTATAACGGATCTCACTGTAGATCGTTGTCTCGATGAAAAAATTAAAAAAAAAAGTAAAAAAATTTTTATTCTATATTTTCGACTTCTTTTTTCGCGTAGAATCACCCCCTTTCCGCTTGTACCACTAGTTACCAACCACCCTGCCGAGGCATGGACGCGCAAGAATAGGAGTACCACAAAGAGTAAGTGTGTATCTATGTAGAGAACCATAATCCCACTTCACGGCTAGGGATGCACAGGAGCAGCTATTTACTACTGTCGATTCAGATTTCCTGCGTATTCTTCACCTAACTACAATTTCACCCTTTGTTCGCAATTTAAACTTCGTTACCTTGCTGTATACGCCAGATTTGTAATTTCACTGAAAATGTTCAACAAATAATAGGGTTCAGAAAAATATTCATGCCTTTCTAGCTGAATAATTAATTTTTAAATTACTTTAAATATTAACAAATTTTGTTTCATCTAAGAGAAATATATTATTCTTTTTCTTAACTAAAATGATATAAATGCATATACAGGGTGGTTGGTAACTGGTGGTACAAGCGGAAAGGGGGTGATTCTACGCGAAAAAAGAAGTCGAAAATATAAAATAAAAATTTTTCGTTGAGGCTTTGTTTTCGAGAAAATCGATTTTGAATTTTCGCTCGGTACGCGTGCGGCACGTTATAACGGATCTCACTGTAGATCGTTGTCTCGATGAAAAAATTAAAAAAAAAAGTAAAAAAATTTTTATTCTATATTTTCGACTTCTTTTTTCGCGTAGAATCACCCCCTTTCCGCTTGTACCACCAGTTACCAACCACCCTGTATATGCATTTATATCATTTTAGTTAAGAAAAAGAATAATATATTTCTCTTAGATGAAACAAAATTTGTTAATATTTAAAGTAATTTAAAAATTAATTATTCAGCTAGAAAGGCATGAATATTTTTCTGAACCCTATTATTTGTTGAACATTTTCAGTGAAATTACAAATCTGGCGTATACAGCAAGGTAACGAAGTTTAAATTGCGAACAAAGGGTGAAATTGTAGTTAGGTGAAGAATACGCAGGAAATCTGAATCGACAGTAGTAAATAGCTGCTCCTGTGCATCCCTAGCCGTGAAGTGGGATTATGGTTCTCTACATAGATACACACTTACTCTTTGTGGTACTCCTATTCTTGCGCGTCCATGCCTCGGGGAACCTTGAGCTTGTGCTTGTTTCTCCTTCCTGTGCGTCTTTAGTCCTCGAAGTAGTCGCGAAAATGTTGTTTTCTTCTTGCTCGTAGTTTGTCCTTGTTCTGTAAGGATAAGAAAAGCAAACATAAACATCGTTATATAATATTTTAGTATACAATACGAAAATATTTAATATACAAATATTTAAGAAAATGGGTGACAACTTCATGTGATTATTTATTTTAATAATAATATAATCGTTTATTTGTTTTATAATAGCATAAAGTTTCACATTTCTCCTACTATTTGTAGCCATGAATTATATTGCGTATATCATAATATCGATCATCTAGCAAGTTTTTCATTTTTCTCTATAATATCTCCAGATTCAGAACACCTCTTCCAATCTTATACAAATTTCTCATTTACAATTTTCAAGAAGATAAGTTTATGAATTTCTAAGAAATAAAACACTTTTGTGAAAATTTGATCGCGCACTTGGAAAGATACTAACCATTCTCGACTCTGCTGTACGAATTTTTCATCAATCAGAAAGATGGTCATACAGAAAATTGAACTTGACGTTCAGTAATAAATTGTGACAAAACTTCCAATATACCAAGAGAACTTCTTTTTTCGACAAACAATGCCCCTCGCGAAAGCAGGATCTCTTATTTACGAAATAAAACTTCAAAAAGGGGCGAATAGTTTCGATAAAACTTCTCCGTCTTCTCTCCGTAAAATCACTAATTCATAATTTCTACGCTAGATTACGGATTTGAATACAGCTAAAGAAATGAAATACAAATTTATGTCACCTACTAATTATAACGAATACTATCTTTGCAATAGAAACGCGTTTTTACATTTCTCAATTTTTCAGAAATTCATTCGTAAATAAACGTTCGTAATCTGCTCGCGATAAAATGAAGATTTATAAGTTGTAACACCTTCGTCTTGGAATTCCTCGTTTTCTGCATAGTCTCTTATCTTTCAAAGTTAAGCATCTTTCGCTTCCATTCAGTTCTTTGCTATTGTAAGGGTAATAATATTGATATAATTTGCGATGGTAATTCCAAGCACTTGAGTTTGTATACTTTTAACGCGACGGCACGTTCTGCTTGTATTTCTCAACGCGCAATTGAATCACCGGCTGCAATCAAGTGGAATTCCACTAGAAAAAAGAAAAATCGACTTGCATACCATTATGGAGCGGCCACGGTAACGCGATTTACCGAGTGCGATTCACAGTTCTGTTATCGTTGGTGACGCTCTAGCAAACCATTCATTTTTATTCTCATTGTAATTACTTTCCAGAAAATACGATGTAATACTGTTACGTAATATTGTTCAGTCGTATAATCTTATTAATCCTCTTACAGCCGAATTTGTTTCGAGTGCCGGTAAAATTTTTGATTTAATTAATTGCCACTAATAGTATAAGCTATATCGAGAACAAATGCATTAATCGCTTAGCTGATTAATAATTTGTCGAATATAAAATTGCACTATCAATAGTGTATATACCGAATAGTGTATATAATATTATTCGTGAAGCGTCAATGAACGCATTATATGAATAGAAGGAATTATTTTATATTTTATGAAACACGGAAACAAAAAAAATCCATTATGTTGTATTTTAGAACTTAAAATTATAAATCGATATCGTAAATGTTCTGGATTACATTTTAAACTTTCTAAATGTACCATTTGTGATACTGTTTATAACAAATTCAGCACTTTTACGTTGTTATTAATTGAGAATGAATCAATTGGTCACGTTTTTCTTCTCAAACAAGTAAGAATGATAAATATTAGTCAATGCATTCTCAACTAACTATCTATTATAATCAGATGTTACAACAATACACGATATTACAATAAAATTGCAGTCATGTTTTACGTTAATAGATACGTTAATACATAATAGTTTAAAATATTTAATTCAGTCTAAATGTAGAGTAATTAAATTAAGAAAGAAGTTGCCCAATTTCTTTTTGCTGTTTGTTATTTGACAAAGCCATAAATAAAAAACCAAACTGTACTTGTTCGGAATATTTCTTGTAATTAGAAACTTTATTTATTCCCTTGATGCATATGAAATACGCAGGATCATAGAAGATTTTGAGTATCGTATAGAATTATTGATGGTAATTCGAATCATAAATGCATAGCCGCGATATTTTATAGCGTAAGTACTCTGAAGCAAGTAAAAAATTAAGTCTGCTATATTGAAGAAAAGACACAATCCATAACACGATGGAGACGATAAAGCGGTCTCAGCTTAACTTTCTTAGGGGTACATCAATCGAAGATGGTGGTAATAAAAAGATACGAGTATATGCTTTTAACATCATTCTTTGCCACTTTACAGCTCGTGTCGGTCGCCTCTCACGTAAGAATCATAAAACAAAGCACCACAAATGAGAAAACTTGGAACTTTTCGATGTTCTAGTAAATTTTACTTTGCAAGTAATACTGGTTCTTCGCTGCGACTCTCGCGAGATTTGAGAGAACTTCTTCTATGGTAAAGAAACGAGCTATGACATATTTTTACGCCCTATAGAAACACCAAATAGAGTTCTGTCTAGACTGCTGTTACCGGAATATTGCAATAAAATGTCTATGAAATTCACGATTATTATAAATGTAGTATTCCTTCCACTGATAAAATTCATTTTTCGTTTTGTTCACTTATAAGGAAACAAGAATATTTTTCCTTAGTATTCGATTTTCTAAATGCGGATAGATCGTGTTTACATTGAGCAATCATTAAATACGTTCCTTGCAAGTAAAATTCACTCTTCTTCTTGTTGGTTTAAAAAACGACAAAGATACTTTTATTTAGTCTCCGATTTTCTACGTGCAAATGAATGAATAAAACTATTCTTATTGAACTTCAATTTCCTAAATGTAAATCGCGAATGATATTCACATTAAATAGGATGAAGCAATTTGATTCATTGTCGCAAATATCCGTCTTCTATTGCAAATAAAACTAATTCCTTCTTTTTATCGAGTTATTTAAGAACAAAAATATTTTTACTTGCCCTTTGATTTTCTAAATAAATCACGAACAATATTCCCAATAAACAGGGACAAGCAATTTAATTGTGATATGTAAGACTACAATTTCGTTTTCAATTATTAAAATTATATCACTAGCCTGTTTTAAAATATGATAATAGTACGATTAACTAAATTAAACAACAAATCTGTTATATCATTTTATACAACAGATAGCAGGTATTACTTTTTCTCGCGTAGCGTGGAAAGAACGGCGTCCAATTATCATGAATTCATAATTAATGTCTGCACATCGAGTGACATTTTATCTCTGGCGTACCGTAATTTCTCTATTCTCCTTCTTCTACGTTTCTCTTTTCCCATTGTCCGCCCCTTGGCCGGCATAACAATACACGTATGCAAATCGTGCCGGCTTAATTGCGACTGTTTTGCATGCGTGGGACATCCGGGTGACAATCGTCGTATCGCGATCGCGCGTGATATCGTTTGCAACCGTAGGGACATATCTGCATTCCGCGCAATTTTTCATCTCCTCGCGTGACTCTACGAGGGGAAAAGGATAGAACGAACTGAAGAGTGAGATAAGTTACTCGAGTCTTTACGTAATTGTACGGTTGCAGAACTAATTAGGGTGACGCGGACGTAGATCGCACAGCCAGCGATCTTTGTTTGCACGTCATTGGTTTCAATTAATATTAGATAAGCGCAATGTGCACCGTTTCAAGACATTTTCCTCTGGTAATAAAGATATCCGTCAACGTTACAGATATAATAACTCACTTATCTAGCGATCTTCTGGCTTTTAATGACTCGTTTCGCTTCTACTAAAACTAAATTGTGGCATATCTATGTACGTTTGTTACCGTTTGTTACGATCTCGTGACTTATATTTCCATATGAATTATGTGGATTTTCTCGTACGATAGGAGTATTAATGATGTAATTTTTGCAAATTGAATACCTTGAGATAATAGTAACAAGTTTAGAAATAATAAAAAATAGTATTTTATAAGATAGTTTTAAATGTTGCAAGTTTTGTGACTGTAATATTTAATAGAGAATTACCAAATTGTAAAGAAGAAATTTATAATCCACAACTTGTCAATTTACGTTGAGAATTAATATCCTCAACATTCTATGTGTAAGAAACATCTCAACGCTAATATTCTCTTTTAATCTGATTCCCACGCTACACGCATTCTTTCCCGCTTTAAATTTAGAAAAAAGATCTGGATAATTTAAAAAAACTAATATAGATGTTCATCAAATCGAATATACAGTGAATTGCTTAAGCCATCCATCCTTCGATGTATTCTGCAAACGTATAATTCTCAGGATATGAAACGTTGATCCGCTACTAATCACGTAACAGCTTTTGCGACGAGTCGCGCGAGAGCTCAAAGTGGCTATTAAATAGAAAGAAACACAAGAGAGAAGGAAAGAGAATAGAACGAGCGATGGAACAAAACCGAGACAGCAATAAAGAGAATGAGAACTAGACACTTTTCACTTCGTGCGAACTCGTGACGTTACACTTCCGCATAGCTCACAAGTGCTTCTTCCCCCGAGCCGACTCCCTCGCTCGTGCGAGAATGGGGGATGAAAAAACGCCGTTCATGGCTATGTACATACATACAATGGGTCAGAAAAGTTTTTTTACGTGTTACTCGCATTGCACGGTGAGCTTTAAATCGAGAATAATCGACTAAGCAATTAATTGAGTAAGTTAATAGGATAGTTAGTGAGGTAGTTAACTAAAATGTGAAATTAATTTTAAACGACTTGGCACATAATTTATATATATATATATATATATATATATATATATATAATGTATATATAGATTCGTACTGTAATTAAAATATAATACACATAAGATGAATGTAAAAGAATGATATTGTAGAAAATAATGTTTCTTCGGCTGACAATTGGATGAAGTCTAACGTGGAGATATGTTTATATATTTATGTCTGATATCAAGATAAGTATTAAGAAATATAAACGAAAATTATAATTCAGCGAAATTTCGCAAGTTATCAATTAAAGCATCATAAATTGTCAACTTATTGACGAAAATTGAAAACTTTCAACG